TGGCTGGTGTGATTTTTCTGGTGTGAAATGTCAAAAATTTTGGTTTCTCTGTGCTGGTTTCGCCTTCTACCATCAATAATAGCCTTTGGCAGAGGTTTAGAAAACTGACAAGTTGTTGGATATCAAACAGATTTGCCCATGATGAAACATCTTTTTGGCCAAAACCTTTCTCCTATAAATCAGGAGCACCACTGGTTGTTTAACTGACAAATTTTAGAAGTCACTGACTGATGACAAGTTGCTTGTTCTCGCTTTTTATTTTAGAAATGCCGTGCAGACAATGAGAACCCAAAATAGTCAACAGCTCTTGATTAATATATTTTCTCAGAAGGGAAAAAAAAAATCTTTTGAATAATTTGCTGCTGTTTGTACTGAGCACACGAGCTGACAGCAGTGACTGCCTTAATGAATCAGTTAAGGGCAGTACAATCTGGGTTGGATGGAGCTGGGGGTGGCCAATTGTGTAGCCACCATCGGGAGAAAGGCTCAGCAAAGTGAGAGAGATCCCAGCCAGGAGGTTTGTGCTGCAGAGGTGCTTTGGGGAGGTGGAGAAGACAAGGAGGTAGGTGGTGGAAGAGGAGCAGAATTTGACTAACTGTGTGGTTTTGAACATGGTAATTATCTTTGTTACTTAGGTTGGATGAGTTCTAGTCCCTGGCCTGCAAAGAGAAGAGATGGATTTTTGAGGGGTAGAAATTTGTCACAAGGTGCTTCTCCCTGAATTTGTTCAAAAAGGAGGAATACAACTCCTGTGGCAGCAGCAGCAGGAAAATTTGCTGTCTCTTTGCACTGTCAGCCTCAGCCATAACATTTTTTTTGTGGAAATATTCTCCACCTGGAGTGTTTCTTTGTACTTTCTAATGGTATATGAGAAAAAATTAATATAAATTTGGGGTTTCTTCTGTTAAGGTCCATCAAAGTTGGGACCTTTTAGGGTGAACAGTTCACTGAAGTCTGTGGGATTCCTCTGACCTAATTCAAGCCAAGTAACTCCAGCTGAACTGGAACATTTCTCACAGAGAAACTCTCAGCCCTATGTTAAAGACCTCTGGCAGTGGAGCAGCCATGAGAACCTTTGGTAATTTTCTTCAGTCATTAATTATTCACACCTTTACTTCAACAGCTGCTTTTTTCCTCTGTGATTCTGGCACTTTTCCCCTTGTAACCCCTGGAAATTGATATCTGTTCTTCCCTAGATGAAGTGTTTGCTCCAGCAGGTTTTTGTTATCCTTTTTGGCTTCCCCAGCTGTGATCAAAGTGCCCCTTTCACTCTCTCTTTGATAAACTAAGTGCTTTGACCTCTGCAGATCTTGCTCTGTGGTCCTTCTCTCTAATCCCTTAATACTTTTTTGTAGCTTTCCCCTTAACACTCTCCAGTTTGGAATTATGGAGCACTGCTCAGATAAATCTTTTAAATGGTTGTTTTCTAAGACTTGAGAACTGTCCAGACCCTTCACTGTCTTCAGAGATGGGAGGTGAAGGATTGGTCATTCTGTTTTTCTCTTCTGGACATCCATTCATTTACAGAAAGACTTTTCACCAAAACTTAAAGCCTTTTCATCCTTTTACTGAAGATAACAATTTTCTTGTACCTCAGGCACATGTCATTCAACTTACAGTCAATTTAAGTTTGGATATTTAAAAAGTATTTGTGCCAAAACTCTGATATTTAGAAGAAATATTTTTGTCTTAGGTGAAAGTAGTTACACATTTGCACGTGAATTTGTGGATAGTTTATATGTATATAAACTGCTTCAAATGCAGGTGGATAAGCTGCTAGAAAGGTTTATTCCAGTCTGAGCTGAAGGTCTCCAAAGGGTTGGAAGGGACCTTAAAGATCATCCACCTCCCTGCCTTGGGCAGGGACACTTTCCACTATCTCTGGTTGCTGCAAGCCCTTGGATCAGGTGTCCCATCCCTCCCATGGTTTGTTTTTCATTAAAAGAACCTTGCACACACACAGAGGAGATACTGCAGTGCTCTAATTAAACCCATGTTTCAGCCAAGTTGTTTGGTCTGCTGTGCAAAAATTGCACATTTTATGTAAAACTTAATTTGAGCAGCTTGACAAACTGTACAGGGGAAAAAAATCAGGTAATGGATTGGTTGCTACTCAGGATAAACACTTCTGCTGTTGTGTACAGAAGCATAATGTTCTGTGGTAATGCTTGATTTGACATGGAACATGATGGATACTTTGTGCATGAAGTGGGGTAATTTAACAACCTGGTAGAATTAAGGCTTAACAACAAAAGACAGTGGTTTTTTTCATGCAATTCAGATTTAAATTGGGGGAACTGTAACCATTGCACAGTGCAAAAACTACAAATGGTTCAGAAAATGGGCTTAAGAAAAGTGATACCATTAACATTTAAAAATAAGGTACCCAGGCAAAGTAACACTGTGTTTTCTGTTCTTATGAGGTATCAGCTCAAGGCCACTTGGATACTGTTCTAGAAAACTTTAGATTTATCAAAAACTGTTTCTAGACAACTTTTCCATGGAATTAAGCTCCTATTTACATCTATTACTTGTGTGGCCTCAATCACTAAAGGTGTCAATCATGTCTGAACAAGGTTGGATTCATGGAGTTGACTGTGTTTAAGAAGAGATTTTTTTTGCCAGAACACAAATATGATAAGATTTCTTTGTCATAAGAAGCAGAAATACTGTTTTTTTGGTGGCTGCAGTAGGACTGATGAGGATCATTCCTGCTTTGGTGCAGAAATTGCATTTTTGTCATGTTTGAATGAAACACTGCAGTGGCACTCAGGTTTTCAGGAGCTATAGGAACATCTAGAGCAATACACAAATTTTTGCTTGTTTTTCATTAAATAGCCAAAAGGAGGCACAGAAGGAGATTTACAGTAGTCAAATTAGATGTACTGTAATGTAGCATTAAATTATTTCTCCTGTAATGATCCTTCACTGTGCTATTCCTAACTGTGATGTTCCTACAATTCTGCTGCTCTTCATGTGAAATCTGAATGTCCTGCACCTGATTCTTTCAAATACTCTGATTTCCTCATTAATGCTTTGGATTTATTTTGCTTCCAACATGTTAAGTTGATTAGAGGGATGGAGTTCCTCTACCATGAGGAAAGGTTGGGAGAATTGGGATTGTTCAGCCTGGAGAAGAGAAGCTTTGAGGTGACCTGATTATGGCCTTCCAGAACCTGAAGGAGCCAACAGGAAAGAAGGAAACAGACTATTTACAAGGGCCTGGAGTGACAGGATAAGGGGGAATGGCTTCCCACTGCCAGAGGGCAGGGTAAAATGGGATATTGGGAAGAAATTGTTTCCTATGAGGGTGGTGAGGCCCTGGCACAGGTTGTCCAGAGAATTTGGGGTTGCCCCTGGATCCCTGGAAGTGTCCAAGGCCAGGCTGGATGGGGCTTGGAGCAACCTGGGCTAGTGGAAGGTGTCCCTGCTGATGGCAGGGGGTGGGACTGGATGGGCTTTGAGGTCCCTTCCAACCCAAACCATTCCATGATTCTATGACACAGCAGCTGTTGAGGACAGTGACTGCTGTTCGCAGCACAGAATTCCTGCTTCTCTCTCCATGCTGTGAATGAAGAAGTTACAAATCACCTCTAAAGATGTGAAAGTCAAGCAAAGAGCTCTCAGGGACAGGGAAACAAACTCCTTTGATTCCCAGCCAAGCAGAGATGCAGTAAAGGAATGCTTTGCATTTCAGATGAAACACACCTTGGGATGTATAGATAATCCTGGCACCAGCTGGGGGGTCTGTGTGGAAAACAAAGGTCACCATCTCCCAGGCAATGCTCTCATTTGCATGCAGGAGGTGGCATTTGTTTTGCAGCATTTGAGTGTTTGCAAACAAGCCTGGGAAGCATTTTCACAGTGAGACTGTGTGGAACATATGGGGTTGTATTACAGTGTGTACATCAAATTCCTGTTTGTGGGGGGTTGTAGGGAAGTACTCAGGGGAGGGGGCTCTGGGAAGGACAGCAGAGAATCACAGAATTGTAACACATCCTGACCTCAGTGCTCTGGGCTGGGTGACAAGGTGAGGATCAGTCAGAGGTTGGACTCAATCTTGGGGGTCTTTTCCAACCTCAGTGATTCTGTGTAAAGGTTTGCTCTGAACAACAGCAGTGAGGAGCTTTAGATCCACAGTGGTCAGTGCCTTTCCTGTAGTTTGTTTCTGGTTTGCAGCAACTTTTCCTTAGGCTCTCTCTCCCCCAGAATGGAAACCACAGGCACCTCGTCCTGTCTGGTCACACTCTGCCCTCAGACAGGAGAAATGGTTTTGCTGTAGCCCAAAGAGCCAACCCTCCAGTGTGTCCTCATCCTCCCCAAGGAGGTTGTGGAGATGGCTGGTGGGATGTGAAATGAAGTTGGAACAGGCTGCCCAGGGCAGTGGTGGAGTGGCCATATCTGGAAGTGTTCTAAAAACATGTGAATGAGGCACTTGAGGACATGGTTCAGTGATGAACATGGTAGTGGAAGACAGTTGGACTTGCTGATCTTGAAGGTCTTTTCCAACCTTAACAACTCTATGATCCAATGAAATGAGTTTGTCCCATCCTAGGCCCACCTTTGGTAAACCTGTCAGTGGGGCAAGATTATATTTCATATACATTTGTCAGCTGAATGAGCAGCATTTTCCACTGGTGTCATCATTTCTACAGCCAGTTGTCTTCAATACTCACCAGTCAGTGTCCAGGACCCCTCACAGATACCAGACTGTTCCTTCTCCTCATGGCACAGTAGAGAGAGTCTTCAAATTAAAGGAGATTTACAACCCAAACAAAAAGAGATGATTATTTATCTGCACTTGGACTGAGATCATTTGCACCTGAAGTAGGTGTGGAGGTTTTATCAAGAGTTTGCTCTGCTCATACAGTCCCTGTGAGGGCTGTGGGGCATTCTAGTCATGGAATCATGAAATCATTAAGGCTAGAAAAGAGCTCTGAGATCACTGAGGCACATCGAGGTTCCCTCCTCAGCCCCCATTTGCTTAAAAACCTGCTGAAGTTTGACCACAGATGCTTCAGGAGCAAATTTGGAAAAGCTTTTAGAGACTCAGGAGCTCTACCAGAGGCAGAAACTGTTTCCTGGTGAGTGTCCCTGAGCAGGGGGGTCAGGGGGATGCACAGACACAGGAGCTGGGGAAGGAGCACATCGATTTGGGTTGGGAAAAATCCCCAGTAGAGCGTAAACTGAGCATTTCTGCTTCATGTTTCAGTGCTGAAAGGAAAGGTGGTCAAGCAAAATAATTGAGGAAACCCCTGGGTAAAACCACCCCCCCTTTTAGAGGAGCTATTAGTCACCTGTCAGAGCAATTAGTGGGGAAGGTAATTTGCATATAATTGCAGAATAATTGCCAATGTGCCAATGTTGGTGGGAGTTTTTTTGTTAAAACTAATGTAAGTTAATATGCCACTGATGTTTCTGATGTAGCCACAAAACACACTTTAATATACAATTAAAATGTATAAACAGGCATTAATCTGAGTTAAGTTTCTCGTGTCACTTCATAGGAAGGTGAACATAAAATCTAAGCTTTATTTCAGATACTCCAAGCTACATGTCTATGACCAAGCAGCATTTTAAGTAGAGTAACAGGCTGAGGAGGAGCCTATCTCACCCCCCACTAATTGTGAAATTTGGTGGGAGTTACTTTTAGGCTTCTAAAGTCATATTTCAAAGCTTAATATTATTGGAAGCGTTCAAGGTCAGATTGGACAGGGTTTGGAGCAACCTGGGGTAGTAGGAGGTGTCCCTGCCCATGGCGGGCATTGAGACTGGGACTGGGTGATCTTTAAGGTCCCTCCCAACCCAAACCATTCCATGATATCCCGAAATTTGGGGAAATGATGGGAGCTCTCAGGTGTTCTGGATATGGAAATCTCCTCTGTCAGTTGGTGAATTGATTGATTTAAATAATAACTCCTTGGGGAGAGCTGCGAAAAACCTGTTGTACCCTTGTATCATCTTTTGGGAAGTGCATTTTGCAATCAAGTTAAATCATAGCTAATGTTTCCCTCTAAATTTTGTCCCTTCAGGTTTTTGCCTGGTTTGCTGTTCAGGTAAGTATTTGATTTGATTTAAGCACATCGAAAATAGAGCTATCGATTGCAGGACTATAATTTACAAAATTGCAGCATTTTCTTTATGGAAGCTCTGAAAAATAAAGCAGCAGCACAGCTGGCTGTTTAAGGTAAGTAGGCAGAGAGTGATCAACTCAAATAACATAAAACCAACATGAATTCTCTCCCATCCTCCTGTGCTGAGAGTGAAGAGATAAAGTTTTATTGTCATTAATGTTATTTTTGGGTTGAGCTAAACTCAAATGGCTCAAAATCACCAGAGGTCTGCAACCAGAGGAAGAAAAGGTCTTTTGTGTCCTGTTAGCTGTGTGATCTGATCATGGGAGATGTGAAATGAGGACATTTGTAGGGTTTTCTGCTTTATTTTTCAGAATCTTGCCTGAACTTGCATCTTATGGTTGTAGGAACATTTAGGGATGTTTTTGTTCATTTTATTTTTAATGCCCTCGCTGGAGCAGCTCATGGTGTCTGTGGTTCACCTTCATTTTCTACCATCATGGAATGGTTTGGGTTGGAAGGGACCTTATAGTCCATCCAGTCCCACCCCCTGCTATGGACAGGGACACCTCCCACTAGCCCAGATTGCTCCAAGCCCCGTCCAACCTGGACTGGAACACTTCCAGAGATGGGGCAGCCACAGCTTCTCTGGGCAACCTGTGCCAGGGCCTTCCCATCCTCACAGGGAAGAATTCCTTCCCAATATCCAGTCTAATTTTCCCCTCTTTCTGTTCTAATTTTCTCTTTCTAATTTTTCCCTCTTTCATACTCCTTGTCCCATCACTGCAGTTCCTGATGAACATCCGTATCCTGCTTCCCTATAGCTCCTTCAGACACTGGAAGGTGCTGTGAGGTTTCCACTCAACCTTCTTTTCTCGAGGTTAACAGTCCCAGCTCTCCCAGCCTGTGTCCATAGGGCAGGTGCTCCAGTCCTCTTATCAACCTTGTGGCCTCCTCTGGACTTGCTCCAGCAGTTCCATGTCCTTCTAATCCTGGCATCCACCATGAAAGAGCAAACCCATGATTATTGAGTGGGGTAAGAACTCTTCACCTTGCCTCTCCCCAGCATTACCCCAAGGCACCAGTAAGTCTCAGTTTCTATTCATTTTAGGAAGGCTTTGGTCAGGTTGCTCCTTGGGAGGTTCATGTTGGATATTAGGAAGAATTTTCCCACTGGAAGAGTGGTTAAGCCCTGGCACAGTTGCCCAGGTCAGGGGTGGAGTCCCCATCCCTGGAGGGGTTTAAAAGCCATGTGGATGTGGCACCCGGGGACACGGGTTAGTGGTGGTCTTGGCAATGCTGGTTGGACTTGATGAGGTCTTTCCCAGCCTTAATGATTCCATGATTCCTTAGGAATCCCCAGAGCTGCCCTGTGGTCAGCACTCCAAATGCCAACTGCTTCCTGCCTGTTCCTGTGAGAAATGAAAATATTTCCTCATCTAGTCTCCAAATAAATCCATCAAATTCACTGGATTCCCTGGAAATCAAGAACTTCAGATTTTTGCAATATATGATTCTTCAGGCAGGAAATTATTTTTCAATGAATTTTTACATAACTTGAGGTAATTGAGTGTTTAATATTTGCAATATTTTTACATTTGCTTTCAGTGAGTATTTAAATATTTGAACATAAAATAAGTTCTTTCACCACACTAATAAAATCTAAGGGCCTAATAGTCACATTCATTATTACAGTCAGTAAATTACCTTTGGTGAGTTTACTTTTACATCCAATATAAATACAGATTTATGAGCTTTCCTGTTACATGATTTATTTGCCCTTTTTATTCAATAAGACTATTTCCCTCTTCCTAAACATCCAATATACATGAAAAGGGATTAAAGTGGAGAGGAAGTATTAAAAAAAAAATATTTAAAAATAACAAACCAGGTCACAATTTCTTCAGCTAGAAAGCTCAGGTAAAAATTTGGAGCTGTTTTTTTGATGGGAATCTTGTGTAGAAGAAAATGGTGGCTTGTGGAATAGGAGGAGACATATATTTGTGTGCTGCTGCTTTTACTGCTGGGTTATTGACTTCAGAGTGTGCTTCGAGCAGCCTTGAATTTGCAGCAGTAAAACACTTCCCATTGGTACACATTTGTATTTAATAAATTGCATTTTATGGAAGTAGAAGCCTGTATTTACCAATTGCCTTCTGGAACCTGTGGGATTTTTCATCATTCCACCGAGAACTATCTTAAAACTTCTGGTTTCTGAGTAACATCAGCCACTCTCATTCTTTCTGAGGCAGAGGAAAGACGTGCATGGGAAAACCTGTGACATAGGAGGCTCTGAGGAAATATTAAAGGAGAGAAATACATTTCTGAGGATGGAAGGAGGAAGAGAAGAGCGTTAAGATCCAGCTGCTAATGGACTGTGTGGCATCTACCACTTCCAGGAGTTCTTAATGGCCTTTGTGACTCAGAAAAGGAAGACTTAAACTGAGGTTTAATAAATCTTTTGGGCCAACAGCTCAAAACAACAACATATTTACCAGCCCATTCATGCACTTCATACATTGCAGCATTTTGACTTACACTTTGTAGCTCTTAATCTGAAATAATTAACCAGTATTTGGATTCAATGTCTTTGATTTACACCCAAAGACATCTCCACTTCCATTTTAGGGCCATTTTGTTGCCTTGAAAGCTTCTGATGTCACGAGCCCAGTCGGCCTATTTCATTAGATAAATTTTTCACTGAGTTGGACGCCTTCGTTTTTAGGAAGGGGGAGGTAAAGTGGGTGTCTGAATATAAAATGACTTCCCTATTTTCACTTCAAAGGCTATTTGGGCCTCTTCAAAGGGTTCCTTTGCCAAAGAGAAATCATGTTTTTTGAAAATACTTAAAAAAAAAAAAAGGTAAGAAAAAAAAGACTTTGTACTGAAAAAATTCATCCTCTGATGACTCTAGCAGTCCTGGGCAGTGGTGATTTCACTACACTTAGAAGACTTAATCATGTAAGCTTTGATTGGGAATGGTTGATGCCTCCAGGCTCTTCATCCCTATAACTACATTTAAATTAAAAATAAGGCAAAACATTTTGCTACAACACGTCCCTCATGCTCCCTGTTTAGTATTCTCCCGCTGTCACAGAGATTGCTGAGGGGAACCTTAATTTATCTGTTTGCCCTTGTGGAATGTCTGCTTAAACATCCTTCAGTGGAATTTAAGAGTCTTGATTTGCTGGTAGTTCCATCCCTGGTAATTCTCCTTAATATTATTTAATTATTACAGTGTAGCCACGAGTGAAATATGGTGTTGTCTGGTGTTCATCACCTGAAGAGTCAGGTGACAGTGGGATTAATAAATAATGGGATTAATAAACAATTCCAGTCTCATTGCTGAGAAAAGGGCCTTGCACAACATCCTCTGAAATGGATGGTTAATATTGCTCTTGATTTAATGAGGTTTGAATCAAGCAAGAAGGGAACTATATAAAAGAATCCCACTTTTCATCCCCGTATGTCTCCAGCAGGTCACGGCGCTGACGTGAATTCCTTGGAGGAGTTGTGTCTCTGCTGGGGCTGTGGGTGGCAGAGGCAGATGCCTGTGGTTCCTGAACAGAAACCCAAGGGAAAACTGGATATTATTTATTGAAAACAGATGGAGATTTTATTTTGAAAAAGTTTTAATTTTTTTTCCTATTCTTCCCGCCCCCCAGAAGTTTGCTCCCATGTTTCCCTTTTAACTCTTAAACTGAGTTGTTCTCCGCAGTAACAATCCACATAGCAAAAATGACTTTTAATGGTTCTTTTTTTCACTAAAATAGGTAATCCTGTATTGTATCCGAAGAGATGATGACACATAGAAGTGAAAAATTGACCTCTTGGCCTCCAGAGGAGGACGCTTTTCTTCTAATGTGTTGAATATGGTATGTCCATGAAATGCTGAAATATGGCTTCAAATTAAAAAAGGGTAGATTCAGATGGGGTATTGGGAAGAAACTCTTCCCTGTGAGGGTGGTGAGGCCCTGGCACGGATTGCCCAGAGAAGCTGTGGCTGCCCCATCCCTGGAAGTGTCCAAGGCCAGGTTGGGCGGGGCTTGGAGCAATCTGGGCTAGTGGGAGGTGTCCCTGTCCATGGCAGGGGGTGGGATTGGATGGTCTTGGAGGTCCCTTCCAGGCAAACCTGTCTGAGATTCTATGATTTTATACCTCTGGAAATAAATTTCCAGATCAGATAGAAAAATGTAAATATATTTATTTTTAGATGCCAGTCTCTGGTTGATTTACAGCGAAGCATATTCCCTTTAGGCATTGGCTCTGTGATACCTGATACAGCAGGATATATGAAACTCTAAACCCAAACCAACATTTCTTTGTAATAGGAAACATTCCATAGGTCGGAATAGAAGTAAAATTCCTTCAGGCTATATTTCTGACATAGATTCAGCCCTGAAAGGTGAAAGAAGTGTTGATTAGAAATGTGGACCTTTGGAGCAACAAGTCATTTTTGTTTTCCAAGGTTTGTCCTTGCAGTGAATTTGTGTATAGTCCAGAATAAGAAATAAAACCAGTGAAGGTTAATTTTGGAAAAAAATAGGTGGCTCTTGGATAAATTGTTTAAGTTGTTATTGTTGGTGGTTCTTGGGTTTTGTTGGTTTTTGGTGTTTCTTTGTTGGTGGTGGTTATTCTTGTTGTTTTCCTTCCATCTCCATTTTGGGAAAAAACCCATAACATTTAATAACAAAAAAATGTTATCCTTTCTTCCTTTGCCTCACATTTGCCTTTCCAGGGAAACCCCCAAGAATTTAACTTTGGGTTGGATACCATCCACTTTCATAGGAAAGAGAACCCATGAACTTGATTGGTGTTTCTGAATATTCCTGAATTGTGGTACCCCCCAAAATGAATATTCCTGAAATACTGGGTGTGTGGGGGAAAAGGGGTTGAGTTGTCTGAGACAGAGAGTTCACTTTCACAAGAGAAAACATTTTCATCAGCCCCCCCCCCCCTTGTTCTCTGCACACACAGTTTCAGGGGCTGAAGAGCCTTTTAATGGAGAGGAGATTTGTTCCCTCCATTTCCCGTTGCTGATCTCTCCTCTTATATCACAATGACTCGGTGACACAGGAGAAAATGAAGTGCCCTCGCTGAGCCTTTATGGGAGGAGAAACCTGTGCCTGGTTAACGCTGTCTGTGGTGATAAATAACCCCTTGGCAAGGGCTGCTCTGGTATTCCAGCCTGGTTTTTTCCAGCAAACCTGCGGCAGATTGGCTGTAATTGCTCACTGCTCTCCATTAGTGGATCTCCCTGCTGGCAGCTCTTTAATAGTTTACATCTCTCGGGGCTGGAAATTACTATTTTAATTAAAACAATTTGTTTCAAATGGGGCTCCCAAATTCCCCATATGATGTTTTAGGAGCCTTGGGTGAAGAACTGGAAATGGAGAGTAGCAGTTGTTTTGAGGGTTTAGAGTGAGGCTGGAAGTAGGAATTGGAAGTTTCACATAATTTCCAAGGACTGGACTTGGAAAGGGAGACAAAGACTCCAAATACTGAAATTGGGTAGGACTGAGATTTTGTCTTCCAAATGTTTTATTAATTCACCGTGGAAAAGACTGTGTTGAGTTTGGACACCACTCTCAGGAACATGGTGAGATTCTTGGGGTTGTTCTGTGCAGGTCCAGGATCCTTTGATGATCCTTGGGGGTCCCTTCCAACTCTGGATATTTTATGATTCTGAGAGTTTCATTTTAACTTTGTTGTTTCCTTTGTGCAGATTGAGAGAAACAATGATTTTCTGGTGAAGGAAAGGGAAGAGCCAAGAAAAGGTACCTTGGACATCTAAATGCCACAAAAATGCACTTAGGAAGTGGGATTGGAGAGTCAACAGCCATGAGTGGTTTGTGGAGTTGGCTGTGCAAGGCAAGACTACTCATAAAACATTGTGAGTTGGAAGGGACTCACATGGATCATGGAGTCCAACTCCTGTGTGGATCAATCCTGAACCTACACTGGGTTGCTCTTTCTCTGCACCCAGGAAGGCAGGAGACCCAAAAGGGGCTGTGTCATGGAAGCCTTCTGGGCTTTGAAACTTGGGGTTGCTGTCAGTTGGCACTAATTTTCTTTTAATTTTAAATTATATTCAAAGATATTATACAATGATCCTGATGGGTCTCTTCCAACTCAGGATACTCTATGATAACATATAAAAATATCTGCTCATGTGCTATTAGTTGAAAGTTCCCATGGAAAGATGTGGGTTCAGTGTTGGGGTCCATGGTGGGTATCAGTCTCCCACCCACCTCGAGGGAACCTTCCTCATGCCCTTCCCAACAACACAGCTATGCAACCATGCTCCCTTCTTCTGTCTCTTCAGGCTCATCAATTAATTTCTCCTTCAGTATTGGCTCAGCTTGGTTTTATGGCTCCTTTTCCCCTCACAGCACCAAAGGCAGCTCCCCTAGTTGAAGGAAAGCCTGGCTTGGGCACTCAGAGCTAGGATTTAAGTGATTTCAGACTCTCCAACCGTATCAAACAGGCATTTAATTCATGTCTGCCAATAATTTCCTGGATCTCTCTTGCTTGCTTCCATATCCACAGCACAAATCCTGTGTTTTCTAAGATTCAGTGGAAGGTGTAACCCCTCTCCCAAGGCTCAGGGTCCATCCCATGGTGTGCATTCCATCCCTACTAATGAGCATGGATTTATGCAGGATTCAGAGCAGGGTTCTTCAGTGCTCCTCTGCACAGGCATGGAGCAGATGAAGCCCTGGAACATCTCCTTGTGGAATTTGGAGGTGTGGGAAGCCCTCTGGGCATCCTTCCACCCCAGCCACAACCCCTCGGGACTTGGGGGTGCCAAGACAAGAGTCTGATGATTCCACAGCTGCTGGGAACATCTGCCATGGGATTTGGCAGCCCACAGCAGCCCAGGGAGCCAGAACAGGCAAAATTATTGACCATAAAAAGTTTGTCTTGAAATGTCTCATTAACAGAGATTGGCTAAAAACTGTGTATGCCTGGGCACGGAGGGTGGGGAGGGATTTTCTGGAGGGATCAGGCCCAAAGCTCCTGCCTTCCATGGCTTTAAGTGTCTGGTGATGGAAGAGCTCTCTCCATAACATACTGTGCAGCAAAAGGATGAAAGATTGAAAGTCTGGGATTAAAAGGGCTCAAGGTAGAGAGGTTGAGATCAGAGAATCATGGACTGGTTTGGGTTGGGAAGGACATTAATGAGCATTCAGTTCCAACTCCCTGCCATGGGTAGGGACACCTACCATTAGATACTAGGAGGGATAGTGACAGGGCAAGGGGAATGGCTTCCCACTGCCAGAGGGCAGGGTTAAATGGGATATTGGGAAGGAATTCTTGGCTGGAAGGGTGGGGAGGCCCTGGCACAGGTTGCCTGGAGAAGCTGTGGCTGCCCCGTCCCTGGAAGTGTCCAGGGCCAGGTTGGACAAGGCTTGGAGCAACCTGGGCTAGTGGAAGGTGTCCCTGCTCATGGCAGGGG